CCACGCCGCCCACGCCGACGCCGACGCCCACGCCGACACCCACGCCCACGCCCACGCCCATGCCCGCGCCCGCGCCCACGCCCACGCCCACGCTCACGCCCACTTCCACGCCCACACCCACGCCCAGGCCCAGGCCCAGGCCCAGGCCCAGGCCCAAGCCCACGCCTACGCCCACGCCCACGCCCACGCCGACGACCACACCCACGCCCACGCCCACGCTCACACGCACGCCCACGCCCACACCCGCGCCCACGCTCACGCCCATACCCACACCAACGCCCACGCCCACGCCGACGCCCACACCCACGCCAACGCCCACGCCCACGCCTACGCCCACGCTCACGCCTACGCCAAAGCTCACACGCACGCCCACGCCCACACCCGCGCCACGCTCACGCCCACTCCCACGCCGACGCCGACGCCACGCCCACGCCCACGCCAACGCCCACGCCCACGCCCACGCCCACGCCCACGCCCACACCCACGCCCACGCGCCGCCCACGCCCACGCCCACGCCCACGCTCAAACGCACGCCGACGCCCACGCCCACGCCACGCCCACGCCCACACGCACGCCCACGCCCACGCCCACCCCACGCCCACGCCCACGACCACGCCCACGACCACGCCCACGTCCACGCCCACCCACCCCCAAGCCCGCGCCCGCGCCCACGCCCACTCCCGCGCCCACGCCCAACCCCAGGCCGAGGCCCAGGCCCACGCCCACGCAGGCGCCTGCGCAGGCCCGGGAAGGGGGTCGCACCCCCCCCCTTTAAACAGGGAAGGGGGAACCTGTTCCTCATCCCCCTTCCCCCAAGCGCCCTTACCGCCCTCCAAGCGCCCCCCTTCTCCAACATGTTCATCAAATTGGACCAACCGGGCCTCTCGCGCGCGCATGCCGAAATCATTCGAACGCCCTTGCACCCGTGTCGGGGGGCACGATCCATGTCAAACGACATCATGCGGGCCATTCGCGCACGTCGGCCGCGCGCGCAGGTCGGTTTTTTCCCAAACCTTGCAGAACCGACGCGGGAACACCATCATCGTCATCGGCGTGATCCGCATTGGCACCGACATTGGCCTTGCCGCCGTCATCGTCTTCATCGTCACCGTCATCGCTACTATTCTGATCGCGCTAACCCTTGTCGACGTCGCCATGACACAACGTTTGCCCAAGTCACCGACTCGCACTGGAGGGCCCGCGCGCCAGTGCGGCCTGCGAAACGCGCTGGGCATCGAAGCGACGACGCCGACGGTATCGGCACCGTCACTGGCCTTGCCGCCGTCGTTGTCACCATCGTCATCAGTACCCCTGCTATCATCATCGTGTCTACCGACGTCGCCGTGATTCCGCGCCCGCCCACGTCACCGACTCGCACTGAAGTGTCCGCTGGGAAGTGCTCAGCGGTCAGCGCCACCGCGGCCGCGTCGGTCGCGCCAAACTAGCTGGCCGCTGCGAGCGCGAGCATGCGCGGGCTAGCGCGGCCGCAGGGACGCAAGCCAACACCACGCACTCATCGCAATCGCCGCCGCATAGGTTTTGCAAACCAAGATGTGAGCAGGTGGATGGGGTAATTGCTCGAGCAGTGGAGTTGGCAATTCCGAATCGTTTAGAACAAATGCACCGCAATGATTGCCCCACATAGATTCTCATCTCTTGAAATAAATTATACACTGCCCCCACCAGCCCGCCGGGGTTATCAATTCGGCCTCGCGTACTGAAATTCACATATGAGCCAGCCCCATCGTCCACCCGAAATCTGAACTCAGATCATCCCAGCCGAGCCGGTATCCCCCCCCCCGCCACCCTCTGCAAAAACTATGCGACTATGCGCGCGCACTCGTTTATCAAACACCAGCTGTTTCCAAGAATCCCTTCGAAAAGAAAAGAGACGAAGTGCACACGCGCGCGTTGTCGCGCGCGCATGCTGAAAGCATTCATAAACCTTAGTTTTCGTGGGGATCCCACATCGAGTTCCCCAAAAAACATACATAAAACAAAAAAACATGCTGGTTCTTTACCATGTTAAAAAACTACTAAACGGGTTTCGCGCGCGCATGTCAAAATCGTTCGAACGCCCTTGCGCGCGTGCCGTCGCGAGAGACCTTTTGCAAAAAAAGGCTACGAACTGCACGCGCGCGCGTCGTCGCGCGCACATGCCAAAAACAGCCGAAAACCGTCGGTGTCGTAACTATGTCAAAACGGAGTCCCGAAAAAAATGGAGAAAGAAACACACACAAAAAAAAAAAAAAAACATGGTTTCGCAACAATCGTGTCCAACCAAAAAGGAAACAATACGCATTGACAACATATTTTTCTTTTTGTTATGAAAAATGCGTTCGCGCTCTTGCGAATTATTCTGCCAAACAGCTCTGGCGCGGCATGCCGAAATAATTCGCACGCCCTTGCGCGCGTGGTGGGGGGGCACGATACGCGTCAACAAAAAAAACATGCTGGCCACTCTCGCGCGTCGGCCGCGCGCGCATATCGAACTCTTTCCAAAACGTTCATCACCGACGCGAGGACGCCGTCATCGTCGCCGGCGTGATCAGCATCGGCGCCCGCATTGGCCGCGCCGTCGTCATTGTCAACGTCGCCACCAGCATCACTAATATCATCATCGTTCCTGGCGTCGTCGACGTTGCCACGATACCGCTCCCACCAAAGTCGCCGACTCGCACTGATGTGCCCGCTGGGATGTGCCCAGCGGTCAGCGCCACCGCGGCCGCGTCGGTCCCGCCAAACTAGCTGGCCGCTGCGCGCGCGTGTTCGGGCTGGCGCGGCCGCACAGATGCACCAGCCAACGCCAAGCACGCATCGCAATCGCCACCGCATGGGTTTTACAAACCAAGTTGCGCGCTGGTGGATGGGATGTTTGCAAAAGCATGGAGTGTGTCAGCCCTTTTTGTAAAAATCGATCACACCACAGATATTACACCACATATATTGGCCCACGCATACTGCATTCATCGAATACACGAACTAGATAGTACAACCGATATGGCACACCTTTTTCCTGCACAACCTATGTTGCACCGCGTAAGTTGGTCCTCATGTACTACACCACATGAACTGCACAGCGCGTACTGCATAACCTAGAGTGTACCACATACATTGAACCACACGTATTGCACCACCTATAGTGCATAAAACCTGTTGCAAAACGTATATTGCGCAGCCTGTATTGCACAACGAGGATTGCACCCCATAGATTGCACCACATCTATTGTGTCACATATATTACACAACGAAGACTGCATTATATAGCTTGCTCGAAACACATTGTTCGGTTATCAACTGTGGCTAACACATGTATGTATGTGCGTATATGTTAGACGTGTACATATATACATATATATATAAATACATATATATACCAGCATCGCGAACGGTCGGTCGGTATCACTGTCTACCGACGCAAGTATCAACTTCAGTATGGGTTTCTCGAGCAACCTGCCTACATACCCGTAACTACGTGCTTACATGTGTGAATGTTCCGAACTCACTACATACATGTCGACATCACCATCGACCAATCGGGAGAACTATCGGGACAACCAGCGCATGTGTTGTTGCAGGTTTGCCAAAATCTCGGGGCGCCGAAGGCGCATTCGTTTGTCGAAATCCATCGGGACAGCGATAGGGTCAAGCGTCGGGGCAACCATCGGCACAACCAACAATTTGCCAAAATCTTGAGACGCCGATGGCGCGAAGCGAATTTGTTTGACGAAATCCATCGGGGCAGCGATAGGGACAACCATAGAGGCAACCATCGGGACAACCATCAGGACAACCAATGTAACAACCGTCGGAACAACCGTCGGTGCAACCGTCGGGACAAGCGTCGGGACAACCGTCGGGACAACCACAAAACAACCACGGAACAACCACGGGACAACCGCGGCCCCAATCCACCAACCAGACGGGAGGAGAGCACTTTGCTGCGACTTCGCACTAGAAGCGGCGGGGTCACGTCTCCCTCCCAGGCACGCAGCTTCGCCTCGCCCGCACGGACGACACGAACACGAAAGCGGAACCGATTTCCCGGTGGAGGGCCTCTGCTACACTTCGATCTCACCCGCCAACTTCCGATCACGTCGTGACGACTTCGGCGTTAGTTGCTGACACCGCGCGAATAGTTCAACTTGGAGCGTTCGCGGCTCTCCAGAAGCGCAGATCGCTCGATAACAGTCGACTGCGGGCCACTGGCGGCATTCGACCCTGAACGCACGCGCTGGGGACGCGTCGACGCGGTGCAACATCGCTCCTCCAACCTCCCCCTCCCCCGCCTCCCCAGGAAGAATTAGAAGCGGAGCTTGCGGCGCGTATTACAAGTGTCGGCGGCTCACGCCAGCGTCGGGACACCCGAGTACGAGAGAGTCAGCAGGACGCTTTCGAGTCAGCAGGGACGGAGGGCGGAGGCAAGAAAACAATCCAAATAAGGTACGGCAGGTTCGTGCGCGCTGGCTTCTGACACCACGCGGATCGTTCAACCTGGGAGAGCTGCGGCCTTCGATAGCCCGGATCACCGATTCTGGGCCACCAGCGGCGTTGGATCTGGAAAGCCCGCGCTGGGGTCGCCGCCGCGTCGACGCGCGCGAACCCACCGTACCCCACGTTGCCATGAAGGAAGCGCCGAGACCAACTCCTGCATCCCATAGCACCGTTCTACGACGGTTCTGACGCTCATGGAGGGCCCCGGGAGCCCGAAAACGGCGAAAAAACAGCAGGACTCGTTCCCCTCAGACCCTGGCACCACAGACATCGGCTCCTCGAAAAAAAAGGCGCGGCCCCAGAGGTCTCGATCGACTCCTTCCCTGGGGCTAGTTGTTCGTGCTGGATCCATGCTTGACGGTCCTGGAGCCCGACGACTGGCCCCACGGGGCCGAGGCGCTCCAGCCATCGCAGGCAAAAACATCTCAGAATTAGGGGGACCGGCCTCGTCGGAGCTCTCCGGGCTCCTCCACGGCGCAGGTCCCTCCCCCAGAGCCGCCGCGCGCCTGGCCCCTGCGCCCGCTGAGGAGGTTCGGCAGGCCGCAGGAGCGCCCGGCCCCGGGCGGGCCCTGGGCACTCCTGCGGGCACGCGGAGGGCGCGCGCGGAAGGCCCGCGCCCGCACCCCCCCGCGCGCGGCACTCCTCCGCGCTGCCGTCGACCGAGAGGGCGGCCCCCCCCGAGCCGCAGATCGATCGAGCCACTCACCGAGGCATCTCTCGGGCCGGACGAAAGGGGGGGATTGGGAAGGGGAGGGTTACGAAATCTGCTGCCTGCAGCTGGTCGCGGCCCCACCGAGGGGCCCATTCCTCGATACGTAGCCGCCTCCGGCGCCGGGGGGCGCCGGGAAAATCAGCTACGCGAGCTGGTTCTCAAACCCCCCCTTTGCTATCCCCCCCTTTCGCCCAGCCCGAATCTCAGACGTTGCCGGCGCAACGCCGATGCATCGTCGATGCGTCGGCGATGCGGCGCGATCCTCCGACCCCATCTGCTCGGACCCCACTCGGGAGGCCTCCATCTCCAGCGATGCAATTTTTGTCCAACGACGGTTTTCCTTCGGTGCCGGCAGCCAAGGGCCGTTATCGGGCCCTGGGGCCGGGACGAACAACTACCCCGGGGGAACCGGTCGGGCCCTCTGGGGCCGCGGATTGGAAATCACATCGTCGGACGCCTGGGTCAGAGTGGCAGGGCCGACCAGGCCTTGCATTGCCCCTAGCAATAGTTTGACGTTGCGCACAAGGGGGTAGGGGGAGGGGGGGAAGGTTTCTAAGAAGGAGGCCGCTTCTTAGAAGGCGCTGGCCTTGCATCTACAGACAAGGTCGCGCCTTCTAAGAAGCAGGGGTGCTTCTAAGAAGCCTTCCCCCATCCTCCTGCCCCCGTTGCGCGCGTGGCCGAATACTGGGACTTCTGCGGTGCGGGTCGTCGCTGCCTCGTTGTCGTCGTCCTCGCCCCGCGCCCCGCCCCGTGCGCCCCTCGCGCCGCCCCGCGCCCTGCCCCCGGGGAAGCGGTCGGCACCTTTGGGGCCGCGAACCTCCGACGCAGACCCGAGTCATCGCAGCAGGCGCCCCCCCGTCCACAGGTGGTCCCCTGCCGCAGAACAGCGGCCCGACGTGATGCGTCGCAAGGACCGACGACCGCCGGCACCCGGCTCGCGCCCTAGCTGGCGCCGCCGCGCCCTCACGCGGCACCGGCCGGCCTCCGGGCGCCCCTGCCGCGGCGCTCCACCGCGCGCGTCTCCCTCGGCACGGAGCAGGCGGGTCCGTGGGCGCCTCCCGGGGCGTACCCGTACTTGTCTTCAGCGGCGTCGTAATTGATATTCGAGGTCGCAGTGTGGGGCGCCTGTGCAACCGCCAGCCAGGTCCGCGGAGACGAGCACTCCGCTGCATGCGCCGCCTCCTCCTGCCTCGCCTCGCCCGCCTCCTGGCCGCCTCCGCAATGCTCCCTCTGCGCTCCACTGTCACGTCCTCATTGCCTCGTCCTCGTCCTCCTCCTCTTTCTCGCCCTTCTCCTCCTCCTCCTCCTCCTCCTCCTCCTCCTCCTCCTCCTCCTCCTCCTCCTCCTCCTCCTCCTCCTCCTCCTCCTCCTCCTCCTCCTCCGCCTCCGCCTCCGCCTCCTCCTCCTCCTCCTCCTCCGCAGCAGCAGCAGCCTCGTCGTCCTCCTCGGCGCGCACCGCCGCCTCTCTGGTGCCCCGCGCGACGGCCGTCCTTCTGAGACTGTTCACTCACCTCCTGGCTGCCTCATGCCCACTGCGGGTTCCCTCTGCGCTCCTTTCTCACCTCCTCATGGTCTCGTCGTCCTCCTCCTCCGCCTCGCCCTCCTCCTCCTCCTCCTCCCCGGGAAATGGGAGAACCATCTCGTCGGATGAGAAGGGCAACGAGCGGGGGGGGTGGGCATAGACCTGGAATCGGCAATGCATCGCCGATAGATCGGCGAGAGGCCCCCGATCGTGAATCCGCACACCCGCGGGCGGGGTCGGGCTATCGGGCCCCTATCGGCGATCAGTGGGCGATTGGGGGTCGACGCGCCCCCCCCTATGCCTGGCCCCCCCGTATCGCTGCCACCGCGGATGTCTGGGCAGGGCGTTCCAGGAGGGGCCGCGTCTTCGGAGCGCTTCGCCCCCGGCGCAGAGGCCGGCGGAGGGCCGGCGGCAGGGTCGCAGGCGACGACGGGGGCGATTCGACCCGGGGCCGGGCGCTGCACGCACCTCTCTGGGGGCCTCTCCGAAGACATGGACCGCCGACGGAGGGAGGAGGGAGGAGGGAGGAGGGAGGAGGGAGGAGGGGGGAGGAGGGAGGAGGGGGGAGGAGGGAGGAGGAGGGAGGAGGAGGAGGAGGAGGAGGAGGAGGAGGAGGAGGCTCGCAGGGCCCCCCCCCCGTAGGGCGACTCGCCCCCCCCTCCTCGCCGTGCGAGGAGCACGGCACGGCGGCGGGTCCGCCGGCGGAGGGCGGCGGAGGCGCAAGCGAGGCGTCCACATGTTGGGGCACAAACAAAAAAAAACTTTTTGTTTGCAATCCTTCGTTCAAGGGGTCTCCAAAATCCCCTCCTCCTCCTCCTCCTCCTCCTCCTCCTCCTCCTCCTCCTCCTCCTCCTCCTCCTCCTCCACCACGAAAAAACACATCCCCAATCCCAAAATCGCGGCTTCACCGAGGATTCGAAGATCGGCCAAAGACTTCGGGGTATGTCTTGCGGTCGTCGTCGTCGCCCTGGCAAAACCCTACCCCCAAAATCTCCCTCCCCGAAGTCTCGAGGAGCCTGCATTTTGTCTTGGCCCTCGCGTGTTTGGGATTGGGCATCTGTTTTGACTTAGTGATCCAAGATCGGCCACGTGCCAGAAGCCGAACCGGCCAGGTCGAGCCACGCCCGCGGCGGGAAGGGGAGGGTTGCCCCGAGGGCGCCGGCATCGAGCCGAAGGGATCGCGAAGGGCCCTGCGGCAGGTTCACGCCGCGACGACGTGCGCAACCCCTAGCGATTGCGGCCTTCTGGTCGCGCAGGATCCCCCGATGACACGGACCTGCCGTGATCGAGCAGCCGCTGCCGCTGGGCCGACACGGCGCGAGCCTGCCGTCATATATGAGCGACTCGGATCCTGGACGACAAGGGCTGGACTCTGCACCTGCTGCCCCGCTGCACCCCCAGGCAGGGCAGCGGGGAGCCTTCCTCCTCCTCTTCCTGCTTCTCCCTCCTCCTCCTCCTCCTCCTCCTCCTCCTCCTCCTCCTCCTCCTCCTCCTCCTCCTCCTCCTCCTCCTCCTCCTCCTCCTCCTCCTCGTCATGCCCTCTCGCGAACTCTAGGCATGTAGTGTTAGCAGCCTCTCCCAAGGAAAAACAATACAAGGGTGGAAGGAAGACGTCAGGAGTCGACCCAGGGGCAGAGACCCCCCCATAAAGAGGGGCATGGCATTCCCACCACGGTCCCACCACGGTTGATGTCTGCAGGGAGGACCGTTCCCGCCTGTTCCTGGGGAAAGACACTGGCACGGCCCTGCAAGTTCAACAGTTCGCCTGCACAATATGCGAGGCAAGACGAGACGCAAGGACAAAATCGAGGAAGACTGGCTTGTCCTTGTCTCCTCCATCTTAGAGGAAATGCCCCCCGCCTTCGTCCCTGATCCCACCCATCTCCTGAAGTTGTTCACAGGAGGTTGGGCATGCAGCGCTGAGAATGGCCTGCGGGCGAGAGGAGGACCCTCCGAACCTGCAAAGCGGGATGACGCTGTACCCAGCAACGGGAGACATCCTGGGCCACATCACTTCTGGCAAACGCCGAGGGGGCGGGATGCCTTCAACGGGGCGGGGGTGGGCGACGACGCCCGGAACTGCATCACCACACAAGCGTGCACTGTGCGAGCAGCAATCCTCCGTTTCCGTTTGGCTTCCTGAACAACTTGACTCTCTTCTCCGCGAGGTCTTTGATTTCCAATGGAAGCGAGCGGCCGCGGGGCGGTCTTCTCGCCCTATACCCAGCCTCGACCCGAAAACGATCAGGGCTCTAGGTGATGTTAGATGGAGCAGCAAAAACTCCACATACACTTCCATCGAGCACCCTTCTGACGACTTTGCCAGTTCTCATAAATTCGCTGGACGGGCCTTGGATCACTCGAGTTGGGCACCCCCCCTTCGCAGAAACAGTCAGCCATTTGGTTCCGCGCGGGCTGCCCCCCCGCCCCTGGGCGCCGCCCTCATTCGCAAGATCGCGCTTGAAAGCCACGAGCTGTCCAGGGAAAGGCCCCCAGGAGCTAAGGGGGGACAGCAACTAAGGGGGGAGCTGGGCTGATGGGACAAGCATCAGGGAGATCTACGTGCACGTCCTGAATCTGGGCGCCAGCCCGGACGGGGGGGCAACAGGTAAACTTGCGAGCAGACCCGCGGGCAGAGTTATCCCGCAGACCCTTCGACCGAGCGCCTCTCCACAACCTCCTGGGGCTCTCAACCTCACCGCCGAAGACCCCGTGGCCCTGGGCACGGCCCGACCGGGCCCAGGCAATCCTGCACCTGGGAACTCGCTTCACGCGCGTACCCCATCTGGGCCGGTCGTGCGATTGATTCTAAAGGGGCCACAGGACACACAAATAAATACACACAAATAAAAAGATCCCCCATATTTTCCCATATTTTCTGGGTTCTGTCTTCCCCCCCACTTCCCATATTTTCCCATATTTTCCTGGGAGTCGACGATTAATTGTGTCTGTGTGTTTCTTTCCCTCCTGAGATTCAGCGAGGCAGCTTCGACACAAAAGCCCCCCCTGGACCCACTCGTCGGGATCGCCCAGCGGTCTGCGCCACCCGGCGCCGCGCGCGCGGAGCGCGGCGAGGGGCGCGGTGGGGCCCCCGGGCGTCGTGGCAGAAGCGCTGGCGGCAACATCGGCAACGTCCCCGCGGGTTTGGTCAATTTGAAGGGGAACTGGGACACACAAATAAATACACACAAATAAAAATATCCCCCATATTTTCCCACATTTTCTGGGTTTTTGCCTTCCCCCCCACTTCCCATATTTTCCCATATTCTCTGGGAATCGACGATCAATTGTGTCTGTGTGTTTTTTCCCCTCCTGACAATTATCGCATCCTGCGCTCCTGGTCGT